TTCAGAGATATCCGAAAAAACTTCATTTTTTTCATCAGATTCCTGCTCTGTCTCCATATTACATTCTCTCGAAAGATCCAGTTTTACTCTTTTCGACATGATTATCATGGTTAACATGAACAAACCTGATAGCACTGATGTGAGACTGCATACGAAGGCCGCCGTAATGAGGGCCTGTAATGTCATATACTGAACAGAGTGATATGGTAGAGTTGGTTGAACAAATTTTTACACAAATCAGATTATGACACATCATAATATCCAGTATTACGTGCGTCGGTTGTAAAAGTCAACCACGTATAGCACTTATTTAATTTGTTTTGGGCGTAATAATAAACTTTGTAGAATAAGTAATTGCTTGTGTAATAGCACATAAGATAAGAAACAATTAAAAAAATTGGAGCACCGAAAATAAAATCTATGAACGAAATAGAAGAAATAACACTTCTTTGGGATACAGTTGCATCCCACTCCGTACTAGAAAGGTTAATAAGAGTAAGCTTATTACAAGTGAATCTGCTATGATTATTGATGGATGCAAAAATACGTCCAGTAATACAAAAACAGTTGTTTGTGTTGCATAATGCTAATGGTAACAAAGCCTTCGTTAATACATGGGATTTATCAGGGGAACCGGAAACAGGTGAGAAACTTTCGGAAATAGTAATTTCTGCCATCAAATTATCCAAAGAAACTTTCAATGCGGAAGTATATGCCAGTGTATAAGATAATGCCTCTGTAATGGTGAAAATGGGTGGTATGTTGCGGTATAATGTTGCAGCAGTTATACAGGTAACTACCTATGCGAAGTTAGCCCCCAATTTTTCTAGCCCCCAATTAGATAGGATTTTACATGTATAGTATTTTGATTATAACAAGAGAACCAGTCAACCGATTTCGATAAACAATGTCTCATTCGAAAGCTCAATCCTTGGCCAATACGAAAGTGGAAATGCCCGATTCGAATTCTTTCTCGAATTCCGCTAAAACGCCAAAATAATGCGAAGGTACACGAAAATAACACAAAAATTACCTTTTTTAGGTGGTGATAACTCGTAGACGATGTACCCGATGATCAAGATCTATACGTCATTCGATTCGTCATAGTTTCTTCTATCGAAATCACAAAATGCCCGATTTCAATTCTCTCCCGTTAACCTTGTACAGCCCACGGAATGACACCGTGTTCGGCTCGTTGTTTACGCACTTATGAACGCCCGAAAGTCTAGCACCCAATATAAAAAAATTAATTTAAACTAAATCGACTATAATAAGAGAACGGTTTGACGGATTTTAATGTTTTATACGTCAATTGATAGCTTTCGCCTGGCTGAATGCATATATCAAAATGCCCGATTCGAAATATTTAAGGATTTTGAATAAAACATAAAAAATTAATTAATCAAATAAGTCAATTATCTCCTTTATTATTTGATCAATTTTAGTCGTCAACATCTCCATCGAAAGTATGATCCATGGTGAATGCGAGAATGGAAATGCCCGATCTCCAAATTTGCTAATTAAGTACGTACGATTGTTTAAACGACTCCGGTGACTTTACTGCCTGGAAGTCTTACTTACATAAAAAATAATTTTTTGTAAACGGATTTTTACTAGAGAACAACTTAATGTGAAAATGTTTGAAATATTCTACTAATCATAATAAAGTATGTAGACAAATAAACAAAGTAATAGACTGATTTAAAATGTATTTGTACTAAAGCAGAAAATCTTTTTCTCACTTTTGGTTTTAGTATTTCTACCTTTAGTATAACTTATTGCTGCTTTCGAATGAGATATTGTTTATCGAAATCGGTTGACTAGTTCTCTTGTTATAATCAAAATACTATACATGTAAAATCCTATCTAATTGGGGGCTAGAAAAATTGGGGGCTAACTTCGCATAGGTCAGGTAACTTACTTGCAAAAAGTGTACTCAATAAAATTCTAACATATAACATTTTACAGGAGTAAAAAAATGACCTGGAAAGAAAAATTATTGAAAAAGGTGGTCATAGGATGAAATTACCAACCTGGTGGCTTGTGCCAACCTCTACTATGTAAATGTAACTACAATTTTGCAAAATAAAAGGCTTAATATAAATTAACAACTAATCTCGAAATCGGATGGGTTTCTTTATTGTACGACCCGATCTACTAGTTACAAAATTATTATTAAGTACTAAACTTTCAGAAGAATTATGATTTTGTTTAGAAACAACCTCAGGTTTCTTAGAATCATTTTCAGGAATCATCAATGATTTTTCCTGATGTGTCTTCTTGCTCGTATTTAACTCAATTTTATCTTTATTTACAGTTTTTAAATTAGTCTTATTCAAAGATTTCTTTAGAAAGCTCTAGTTCCTTCTATACTCATTATTAGTCTCCTAATTTGTCATGGAGTCCATCCTTACTTCCTCTGTTATAATAAGTTTCTGTCGTTTCCTTTTTCATCTTTTCCTCAATATGTTTTAGAATTTTAGGTGTTAACTCCTTTTTAGGAATATCNATTAGTCTCCTAATTTGTCATGGAGTCCATCCTTACTTCATCTGTTATAATAAGTTTCTGTCGTTTCCTTTTTCATCTTTTCCTCAATATGTTTTAGAATTTTAGATGTTAACTCCTTTTTAGGAAAATCTTAATCGTCTGTTAGACAGCAACTCACATGGAGCAACATTAAGACCAACTGTTATGTCGCCGCTTTCTTCCGTACATTTCTTAGCATCTTTTTACAAATACCCACCGCTGTCTCCTCAAGACCATTCGACTTTAGCTACTTTAGGTAAAATGGACTTGAAGTTATTACATTAAAGTTCCACTGATCTGCAAAATCCATTGAGGTCTTATATATAATCTAGAGAGAGTATGTGGTGGTGGTGGGGGTAATCAGAAAGTCAGACATGTTGGATGTACCGACTTGAACTTAGCTATAGTTTCAAGTCTCTATTGCACCTACAATTATAACCTCACAATTCTCATAAACATATTGTTATTTTTATTAAAATTTGATTTTTGATGAAAGTTTTTTCGTTTCACATATGTTTTTTATAATTTGTAGGTTGGACGATTATTCACAACAGTTCATAAAGTGTTTCTGGTTACTTGACTTGGAATTAACAATTGAAGACCTCGGTGTAAGAAGGGGCCAACTCCTTCTCTTGATAAATGGANCCTTGCTCGTATTTAACTCAATCTCATCTTTATTTACAGTTTTTAAAGTAGTCTCATTCAAAGATTTCTTTAGAAAGCTCTAGTTCCTTCTATACTCATTATTAGTCTCCTAATTTGTCATGGAGTCCATCCTTACTTCCTCTGTTATAATAAGTTTCTGTCGTTTCCTTTTTCATCTTTTCCTCAATATGTTTTAGAATTTTAGGTGTTAACTCCTTTTTAGGAATATCTTAATAGTGTGTTACACAGCAACTCACATAGAGCAACATTAAGACCAACCGTTATGTCTCTGCTTTCTTCCGTGCATTTTTTAGCATCTTCTTACAAATACCCACCGCTGTCTCTTCAAGACCATTCGACTTTAGCTAATTTAGGTAAAATGGACTTGAAGTTATTACATTAAAGTTCCACTGATCTGCAAAATCCCTAAATCTAAACGAGTAAAAATGGCATGTTGTCCGAAATAAAATATATTTGGTGCGCGATGCGTAGAGAATATCTTTTTTAATACTTTTATTACTGAATGTGCAGTTTTATCTTAAAGCAAACCAAATAGTCTGAAAAATTTTAAATATGGTTTGAATAGGCAATCAAGTTCTTTTATATTCTTTCTTGACCACTTTTCACAAATTTAACATCGTCAAATATAGCTTTAAATATCTCTTGCTAAATCTGGCCAATAAATTACTTTCATAGCTCTAGAGTAGGTCTTTTCCATGTCAAATTGTTTGTCTTACTTTTAGCACAACGACTTTGCTGTTGAAGAAAATAAGTCCATTCCTATGGTATAGATCATGTCTAATCTTAAAATAAGGTTTAAGAGACTCATGCAATTTTCATTTATTCGTAGACCAGTTATTTTTTGTTTCCTGAATCAGTATTTTTGATGTTCCATCCATGTCTGTTATTTCTTTTAATTCGTTTAGGCATTTATCTGAAACTCATCGTAGGATCATCTTTAACCCTATCCTTCAAAAAAGCTCCTGACAAAAGGTCTGCAATATACATTTCTTTCCCAAGCAAGTATTCTGTGTAGAAATCGACATAATCGAAACTCTGTTAAGCTTCTTGAACAAAAACTAACAAGTTTGTTATCCTGTAGAAGACACGCGCCAAGTCCATATTGACTTGCGTCTGTTTGAATAGTTATCTGCTTTCTCGGATCAAATATAGCTGAAGTGGGTACTTCTGTGATCAATTTTTTTAGTTTGTTGAGCGTTTGTGTATGATGTTGTCTCCAGACAAACTCTATGTTGTTCCGACAGATTTGGTATGTATTTGATTAAGTAATTAAACATACCAAGAATTTTAAGCAATTCTTTTCTATTCTAAGGGACCTCTAGCTCCAAAATTCATCGAATCTGTTCAGGATCAGGTCTAATACCTTCACCCCACACCTGACACCATGTTACATTCTTACTATGTATGTTTCTTACAGACGTTTTTATAACTGTGTATTAACTGAATAACATTTAGTTACATCGGTACAAGACCATACATGATATTACAACGTCATATCGATTGACATACGATCCTTATTACCAACTTGGTGGTTTGTGCCAACCTCTACTATGTAAATGTAACTACAATATGTAACAGTCCAACTTTCTCAAGACGCACTAATAATAACTAATAAATGTGTTATTTCAACTTTAAAACAATTCTGAATATAAATGAAATACCAATTAAGTTAGTAAAAAATATTTAAGTGTTAATTTATAATGATTAAAGTAACAACCAATGTAAGCTAAAAATAAATCATATAAAAACCTTCTCTTGTATATAAAACGAAATGTTAAAGTACTTTATCGTTAAAAACGTTTTGAAAATGTTCCTATTACCTTTTTTAATAGTTATCATTCCAATTTTGGTTATCGTATGGTTGTATTCAATTTATTTTCGTTACAAAAAACATCTTAACCAATTTAATTACGTTAAAATATCCGCCAAAAGCACTAAAGGTAAAAATTAAATCCTTTTAAAACATTATTATAACTAAATTATTTTTAGAGATTTATGATTTATTGATGATACAAGCAAAAAATGGATTTAAAAATGCTTGGACAATGTTGGGACCTTATCCGGCTTTAATAACGGCCGATCCAAAAATGTTCAATAAAATTTTAGGATCTATTAAACACATCACAAAGCCGATTACTTATAAAGCGTTTGAAAACAGTGTGAAAGGAACGTTATTTTACGAAAATGGATTAATTTGGAAAAACCAACGACGTTATATGACGACGGCTTTCGATCAAAACGCCGTTTTAAGATTTGTTAATATTTTTAATAAACGCGCTGATGAGTTAGTCGATAATTTAAAATTAGAAATCGACCATAATAATGTTAATAATATCAATGTAGTCGACATAAAGGAGCACGTCGATAATACCGTTTTAAAATTCGTTTACGAAAGTTTTTTGGATGATGAAATCGACGATTTAAAAGGTTTAATGAAAAAAATTAACTTATTGTCGCGATTATACGCCGAGAAAACAATGAATATCTTTGAACTTTTTAAAGTGACTTATTTTTTTACGAGAAATTATTGGATTGAACGCAATATTATAAATTATTTACACTCTAACATAAAGAAAGTTATTAATAAGCGCCTTAAAAATAAAATCAACATGGAAAAAATAATTTTTATTGATATGCTTTTAAACGAAATGAAAACGAATCAAACTCTTGATGAAGATTTGGTTATACGGCAAGTAAAATTAATGTTAGAAGCGGTAAGAATTTAATTCATTAATAAACTAATCATTATTAATTTCTTTTTAAATAGGGATTTGATACAACAACTTACACCATTTCTTTTCTTTTATATAATCTCTCTAAAAATCCAAAAATTCAAGAAAAAGTTTTTAACGAAATCGTTTCAATCCTCGGTGATAACCCAAATGAATTTATTTCGTTTGAAAAATTAAAAGAAATGAAATATATCGATTTAGTAATAAAAGAAAGTTTAAGAATCTATACAACCGGACAAATGTTTTCGAGATATTTACTCGAAGATGTTAAAATAAGCGATGAAATAACATTACCTCAAGGATTAACGGTCACTTTTTTACCCGGTGTGATGCATAGAAACCCCGATTTGTACCCAAATCCCGAAGAATTTATTCCGGAACGATTCGAAGATAAAAAATTTAAAGAAAATCGATTTATATACGCACCATTTTGTCTCGGAGTTAGACAATGCATAGGTAAAAAATTGTTTCTGATAAAAACTTTTATTTTATACCGGGAATTTCATATAACTCGCAATATATGAATGCAGTAACCATAGTTACGAAACTACTATGCACTTGCACTATCCCACATAAAATGCAACATAGCTCAGTAGTACAGGCATTGGGTAGTTTTGGAAAGGAAAAGTTTTGTTTGGAAAAACGTGACGTCCTTATGATAACTCTGAGTTTCCGTCTTAAGAGACGCACGGCTAAACACGAATGATTTTAGTTCCACTATATAATATTTTCTAATACGTATGTTTATAACCTTTCAACTACTTCTAATTTTACACTAGCACTGTTACTATGTAGAAATAACACTATACCTAAAACTAGAATCATTTGGATTTAGCCGCACGTCTCTAAAGACGGCTAAACCCGAATGATTCTAGTTCTAGGTATAGTGTTAGTTCTAGTTTTACATAGCACTGTTCCTATGTAGAACTAACACTATACCTAGAACTAGAATCATTTGGATTTAGCCGCACGTCTGTAAAGACGGCTAAATCCGAATGACTCTAGTTCTAGGTATAGTGCTAGTTCTACATAGTAACAGTGCTACTGTAAAACTAGAACTAATACTAGACCTAGAACTAGAAAAAAAGACGGCTAAACCCGAATGATTCTAGTTCTAGGTCTAGTATTAAGTAGTTCTAGTTTTACACTAGCACTGTTACTATGTAGAACTAACACTATACCTAGAACTAGAATCATTTGGGTTTAGCCGTACGTCTTTAAAGACGGCTAATCCCTAATTCTTCTAGTTCTAGTTTTACATAGCACTGTTCCTATGTAGAACTAACACTATACCTAGAACTAGAATCATTTGGATTTAGCCGCACGTCTCTAAAGACGGCTAAACCCGAATGATTCTAGTTCTAGGTCTAGCATTAGTTCTAGTTTTACACTAGCACTGTTCCTATGTAGAACTAACACTATACCTAGAACTAGAATCATTTGGATTTAGCCGCACGTCTCTAAAGACGGCTAAACCCGAATGATTCTAGTTGTAGGTCTAGTACTAGTTTTACACTAACACTGTTACTATGTAGAACTAACACTATACCTAGAACTAGAATCATTTGGATTTAGCCGCACGTCTCTAAAGACGGCTAAACCTGAATGATTCTAGGGTAAACGCACCAGCGTTTGACCTCTTAAGGATTTTTTAATGTCAGTGTTTGACCGAGCCATATTATTTTTCTTGTAGATCCCTCTGCCTTTACATAAAATGATCAAAATATGATCAAATACACATCTGATTCATTTAAAGTTACTTACCCTACATATAAAATATAACATCATGAAGTAATATTTTTTAAAAATTAAAAAGGAAAACAGTATTTCGCATTTAGTGTTTGACCACTTTGATTACATTACTTGACCAATAATATCTAGTCTTTGACCTTAAAACCGTCAATGTTTGACCGATTCTTAATATAATATTCATTTTCATTATTTTTCCATACTATTTTGTTCACAAAAAAAGTTTATATTTTTTGACTCTTTAAGAACATCTTTTAAAACAGGAGTAAAATGCTCTTGACTTTACTTTTCACCCAAATTTTGTGTTTTCCAACTGGGTTTTTGTAACAGGAAAACCCCTGCTGAATGAAACAACCATTCAACCAGCAGTTTTTCTTCATCAGAATTTAAAAATGCTGGTGGGCNAGACCTAGAACTAGAATCATTCGGGTTTAGCCGCACGTCTCTAAAGACGGCTAAACCCGAATGATTCTAGTTCTAGGTCTAGTATTAGTTCTAGTTTTACAGTAGCACTGTTACTATGTACAACTAGCACTATACCTAGAACTAGAATCATTTGGATTTAGCCGCACGTCTCTAAAGACGGCTAAACCCGAATAATTCTAGTTCTAGGTCTAGTATTAGTTCTAGTTTTACACTAGCACTATTACTATGTAGAAGTAACATTATACCTAGAACTAGAATCATTTGGGTTTAGCCGTACGTGTCTAAAGACGACTAAACCCTAATGATTCTAGTTCTAGTTTTACATAGCACTGTTCCTATGCAGAACTAGCACTATACCTAGAACTAGAATCATTTGGATTTAGCCGCACGTCTCTAAAGACGGCTAAACCCGAATGATTCTAGTTCTAGGTCTAGTATTAGTTCTAGTTTTTCACTAGCACTNTACTTGTGAGATTATACCACAACCAATTCGTCTAGTATTTGACCGTTTGGTCAAACACTAATTTTTAATTAAATTTAGAACTACCAGTCATTGACCGGCTTTATTTCAACAAATAATTAATTAAAGCGGTATTTTTTTAATATAACCAATAGAAAACATTATTAGATCACTGACAAACAAAAAAAAACATCATACATGTAAAAACGGCTGAATAGTACTACCCTGTTTGGGCGAATTTCTAAACATAAAAATTACGCTTTTTAACACGATGTGAATAGGCCGGCAGTTAGCGCGAAATTAAACAACAAAAACTCAAGAACGGTATGGCCGTGGACTTTTTGTGTACTAGGGGGTGGAGAGGAGACTGATGGCTGTTTATGGATATATTTATATTTTTTTAGATATTCCTTGGATCCTTATTTTTTACTTTTTTTTACAAAAACGGTCAAACACTGACCAACGGTCAATTACTGGCGTTTTACCCTAGATCTAGTATTAGTTCTAGTTTTACACTAGCACTATTACTATGTAGAACTAACACTATACCTAGAACTAGAATCATTTGGATTTAGCCGCACGTCTCTAAAGACGGCTAAACCCGAATGATTCTAGTTCTAGGTATAGTGTTAGTTCTAGTTTTACACTAGCACTGTTCCTATGTAGAACTAACACTATACCTAGAACTAGAATCATTTGGATTTAGCCGCACGTCTCTAAAGACGGCTAAACCCGAATGATTCTAGTTCTAGGTATAGTGCTAGTTCTACATAGTAACAGTGTTAGTGTAAAACTAGTACTAGACCTAAAACTAGAATCATTTGGATTTAGCCGCATGTCTCTAAAGACGGCTAAACCCGAATGATTCTAGTTCTAGGTCTAGTATTAGTTCTAGTTTTACACTAGCACTATTACTATGTAGAACTAGCACTATACCTAGAACTAGAATCATTTGGGTTTAGCAGCACATTTCTAAAGACGGCTAAACTCAAATGATTCTAGTTCTAGGTCTAGTATTAGTTCTAGTTTTAGTTCAATAAAAATATACAACTTAGTGATATTTTATGCTATCAGCCATCTTAAGAGAGGTACTGCTAAACGGAATGTCGCTAGCTCTAGGTCTAGTGTTAGTTTTAGTTTTGCAGTAGCATGTTGCATTCTTCTAGTGTGTTGCATTTTATGTGGGACAAAGTAAGTTTTAGGTATGCCCTGGTTTCAATGGAAATATATTGTTGTATATTGCATCTTAAGCGAAATTTACTGTATTTTAATTCACTGTATTTAATTTAGGTAAACAATACGCCCAACTTGCAATTAAAACCGTTTTAATAAAAATACTTTTAAACTACGAACTGGTTGATGTTCAACACGAACTTTGCCTCGCTGTGGAATTAACTTTAGTATCTGAAAACGGGATTAAAATTGGTTTGAAGAAACGAGAATCAACTTAATAATGATTTTGTTTTGTGAATTGTAATCAAAAGTAGTTATCAATGTATTTGTTATTTATAGAGAATAAATCACAATCAAATTATTAAGGAAATGATCTGATTACAGCCTCATAGAATTTGATCTTGCGAGCAGGATCAAATTTACTTCGTCTGTTATTCTTCGTCCTGTTCTTCCATAGAAACTGTTCGAGTCATCTTTCGATTATATGTAACCTTAGCGATCAGCTGAAGACGCAGACGACGCATAGTGGTCAATTTCATAAATCTAGGTGGACAAAATTAATATTGAAAAAAATACAACTTTTTTAGACATAATTATATTCAAAAACTCCTACTTCATCGGAAATATTCTGTATTTTCTTAGGAACGACACTTCTGAAGTTTGTAATTAGCGGATCTGACGAAACTAATAACATATTGAACAGATCCTCGGTGTTGGCGATTATGTCTTTGCCTTCATTTATAATATGTGTCGGAGAAAGAACTTTTATTTCTGTTTCTACATTACTAACTTCTGTTCGAGTTAGTTCTGCAGTCTCTTCCTGAAACAATAACTTTATTCAGCGACAATAGCGTGTTGACGAAGGGCGTGGATTTTCCCATTTTATTGCTTCATTATGTTTTAATTGAAGCGGAACCAATAAAATTACGAACAAGAAGTCGCTTTTAGCACACATCCGGTTACGTGATCATCATAGTCTTCTAGTCTTAATTTGTTTATTCATTTCGCTACGCGTCGAATAAAGCGCTTCTAGTGAGTGCGTCGTCCATTGTAAAAACTGCAATAATATACAGGTGTCCCGAAACTCAACGTCAAGCGAGCACCGGGTGAGAGGCCAACCAATACCTATTCTGGTAAAAATAAGAAAAAAATTCTGTCTCTTAGTTAAGTGGTAATTTTTGAAAATGTTAAAAATCGTTCCCGTACATCATATCTTTAGGTACTACGGTCAGAAATGTTCGCAATTTAATATGATTTTTTTAATAATGTATTCCTAATGAACCATGCTACTATAGCAGTCACAAATCGAACAACAAATGTCGTTAGTTTTGTAAAAAAAGTATTAGTTTGATTGAGTTTAGGTTGAAAGAATTTATGTCTATTAAGTTTGACACACGATTTCTAAATAAAGGAGTAGTACAACACCCTTGGCAAGTTATTTTAAAAGATGGCCTGTTTAGTCAAGATTCCAAAATGGTATAACAGTTGCCATTTTTCTTTTCCTAAAAAATATGATTGCCTGTTTTTCTACAAAAAACGTGTTATTTAAAAAATTCACACTTTCGTATGTTATTTGTATTTCCTCCAAAATGATTTAACAACTTTGTTAGAAGATGTGCCACTCAATATCTACAGAGAAATGTGGTTTCAACAAGATGGTTGTCCAGCTTATTATGCTTGTCCTGTATGGGATTGCATACAGAATACCCAGAAAGGTAGATTGAGCGTCGTGGTTCGATTACGTGGCCTCCTCATTCTCTGGGTCTAAATCCCTTTGATTTTCTTATTAGGATTGCATAAAAGAAACAGTGTATTAAAAACCGATTGAAAATCTTGCCGAACTGAGCCACAATATTTATACAGCAGCAGAAGAAATAAATGCAAAGAGATTTGCACAACTAGTAAAAAGATCTTTTCTGTGACGATGCAGAGCTTGTATTAGTGCCGACGGCAAATAATTTGAGCATTTGCCTTAGTTTTAAGAAAATAATGCTATAAAATTAATAATAAATAAATTTGTTTGTTTAATTTTGTCTTTAGGTTAACCTTATTTGAAAGAGTCTTTTTGCAAGACATAAGGGCAACCATCTTGTTGAAACCACATTTTGTAGTTCGTAGATATTGACTGGCACATCTTCTAACAAAGTTAAGAGGAAATAAAAAGTAAATACAAATAACATGCAAAAGTATGAATTTTTTAAATAACGTGTTTTTTGCAGAAAAACAGGCAATAATATTTTTTATGACAAGAAAAATAGTAAGTGTTGTACCATTTTGGAAACTTAACTAAACAGGCCATCTTTTAAAATTACTTGCCAAGGGTGTTGTACTATTCCTTTTTTTAGAAATCGTGTGTCAAACTTGACAGACATAAATTCTTTCAACCTTAACTCAATCAAATTATTATATTTTTTTGCAAAACTAACGACTTTTGTTGTTTGAATTGTGACTTCTACAGTAGCATGGTTCACAAGGAATAGATTATTAAAAAAATCAGTATTAAATTGCGAACATTTCTGGCCGTAGCACCTAAAGATATGATGTACGGGACCGATTTTTAACATTTTCAAAAGTATGTCTATTACCACTTATCTAAGAGACATGGAATTTTTTTCTCATTTTTACCAGAACAGATATGGGTTGGCCTCTTACCCGGTGCCCGCTTGACGTTGAGTTTAGGGACAACCTGTATATATAGTTGGTGAGATATGGTTGCAAATATTATTATTTAACCTCTTGAATACCATTTTTAGAAAAAGTTGGAGTAATACGGAAAAAAAAAGTCTGATAATTATAGGTAAAATTTACATTATTACATCATTTGTTTCTTAATGACATTGTCGTAATAATATTTTAAAAAAGTAGATTTAGTTACTGCTAGATAGTTTACATACCTTTAGATGAAATTTTAGAAACACAGAACTGCAATTGCTGGAACACTGCTTGAAATAAACAGAGCTAATAAATGTAACGATTTAATAGGCTGCAGTAGACCCTTTTCTACATACGATTGCCAAACAACCCCGAACAAACGAGCAGATTCCTGCCAATTGTCAATTTATAAAGACATTAAAAAGTAGTTTGTAATTGTTACAAACCACTTTATATAAAAACACTTTCGTGCATTTTGTCCAGCTAAAATAGTAGTCTGAACCACTGTGCGACGGAGCGTTCACCCAGCAGTTTTGACAATCTGGATTTCCAGATTAGATTTTCTGCCAGTGGTCTCCTCGTGGTTAGGTCATCGTCCAGTTCATGTTGTCTTGGTTTGTTATAGACAGAGATCAATCTCAACGGTTCGGTGATTGTCATCATTGTAGCTCTTACAGCTTCCATATCTCGTAAATAGTGATGGTCGTTCCATCACCAAGGCCAATTATAACGAATTCGGCGAATTCTATGAAAAACGATGAACTTAGGTTTTTGAGTTTGCTGGCCTATTTGGGAGAACCAAGTTTTTTGTTAAAAGCAACTTATAGAGTATAGGAATTAATCGTATAATAAAACATTAAAAATTAAAATGGAGTATTTGATAGACTGTTTTATGTGTTTATTTATTATTTTATAATTATAACAAAATCGCCATGGGAAAATATATTATGTTGATATAACAACCCATAGTGATATAATAACCCCCTTCAATAAAAATTAAAAGTTTAAATTAAAAGGTTAATGACGATGTTTTAAACATAGAAATAAAAAGAACGAAGAAGGAAAGGAAATCCATGAAGGGTGGTAACAATTGTTTTTATTCCTCATAAATCAGACATATTTTTCAAATTTTCATTGATCATTGATTCTTCGATATTAAACAAGGTTTAATTCAAAATGCCAAATAACAACGTTGGTGATACACAAAATTTTTCTGCAGTGCGACTTTCACCTTTTTGCGTATCAAAACCTGAAGTCTGGTTTACTCAGGTGGAAGCAAAATTTTCAATTTGTAATGTGCAAAATGACAAAGCTAAATACAATCTGGTGATTTCTAATTTACCGTTAGAAATCATTTCATCAGTTATTGATGTAATTAATAACCCACAAGACACAAACTTATAACCTTTTCTTAAAAAAACTTTAATTGATAGACTGTCACAAAGTGAGGAGAAACGTCTGGATGATCTCCTGTCAGGTTCAGAGATGGNCTTTTTTGATATTTAGACTATGCGAAAATAGGGAGATTGCATATTTTGCTAAAATTTTATTCCAAAGGCCTTTACTGAGTGTATTTTGATAGTGTTTTAGTTCTATCTGATTCTGTCACAAAGTTTTAAAATGTTTGACTTCTTGGGACACAAAGGGTTAAGTGTGTCTATCTGTTTATTTATTATTTTATAATTATAACAAAATCGCCATGGGAAAATACATTATGTTGATATAACAAACCATGGTGATATAACATTATGATATATATAAAAATAAATAGAGTGCGTGATGCGCTACAATTATTCCTCCTTCAATAAAAATTAAAAGTTTAAATTAATGACGATGTTTCAAACATAGAAATAAAAAGAACGAAGAAGGAAAGGAAATCCATGAAGGGTGGTAACAATAGTTTTTATTCCTCATAAATCAGACATTATATTTTTCAAATTTTCAATCATTGATTCTTCGATATTAAACAAGGTTTCATTCAAAATGCCAAATAACAACGTTGGTGATACACAAAATTTTTCTGCAGTGCGACTTCCACCTTTTTGCGTATCAAAACCTGAAATCTGGTTTACTCAGGTGGAAGCAAAATTTTCAATTTGTAATGTGCACAATGACAAAGCTAAATACAATCTGGTGTTTTCTAATTTACCGTTAGAAATCATTTCATCAGTTATTGATGTAATTAATAACCCACCAGACACAAACTTATAACCTTTTCTTAAAAAAACTTTAATTGATAGACTGTCACAAAGTGAGGAGAAACGTCTGGATGATCTCCTGTCAGGTTCAGAGATGGGAAATCAAAAACCATCTGAATTCTTTCGAGGTATGATGGTTACTGCAGGTGGTTCTCAAGTTGTAAGTCAAGACTTACTATTAAAGCTTTGGAAGAGGAGGCTTCCACACACAATTTCAGTTGCCTTACTGGCCTCTGGAAAAGTGATCCACTTGAATTGTTGACGATGGCAGATAAAATTGGGGATTCTTTAAATTCCGGTACTTATCCTTCATTAAAAGTTTCAAAAATTACACCTTCCCAAAATTCACATTCAACGCATGATTTTCGTTTATTAAAAGCCATCAGTGATTTAACTTCAACTTGTCAAACTTTATTGCAAACTGTAACACAACAACACACATCTACTACATCTATTCAAAATAAAATACTTAAAATAAATACTAATAGACTTCTTGGGAGTGGTGCTGG